GGTCTATTGATAGGGCTTTCAATATTTTGTTACTATTTATTTAAAATATTTTTGAATAATAATACATTTAAAAAAATGATAATCTAGAACGCAATTTATGAATTACTGATATCTAAAATAAAAAAAAAATAAATAAAAAAAATAATGTGTTGTGCACAGGTTTTAAACTGATGTTCACAATGACACAATTCCTTTGTGTGTTAAGCACATTTGTACTAAGTTAAAAATTTCATGTCATGTCATGATACTTTTATTATCATGAGTTATGTCATCAGAATGTAAAAAATTATTGGGGTCAATGGACATTTTTCGAGATACAAGATTCCAAATCCAAAACTGGCTTTTTTTTCTGGGTTTTAATTATTTCTTAATATCTCAAAATTGTTCGCTATTAAATTGAATGAAAAAGTCATGAAAATTAAACGAGTCTTAAAGCGGGGGAGTCGTCACCTGCGCATGCATCAGATGGCGATAGCGTGTCATTGTTTACAAACAAGCGTCTACCCATGAGCCTTTGCATTTTTAGCGTGTGTTGCTATCATCGCTTGGGACTCCCCGCGCTTTGCGCAGGTGATGACCCTCCCACTTTAATATTGTGAATACAATTGGTGTATAATTTAGTGAATTTCCATTGTAATAATATATATGCAATGGTAAGTTACATTCCATGCTAAGTAGTACAAAATTTGAATTCTTAGATTATTAACACCATATTCACTCTATTTGAAGTGTAATCACTTACTCATAAGCACTGTTGAACTATTACAATTAGTATCAATCAATCACAATGTGAGTTTTATATGTACTTCAAATATCACCATAACAAAGTTGAATCATTATGGATATTGCTAACACTGACTTTATTTACTTAACAGGATGCATCTTGCATTGAAAGCGTACAGTGAGCTGTTGATGACTTTAGACACTATGGGTCGTTGCAAAGACGATTCTCTTAAGGATGGCGCTGATGTCATCAAAAGTAATATATTTTACGTGATGGAATATCGGGAAATATTTCAAACATTGCTGAGAAAGTACGATCCTGTCAAGCTAACCAAGTAAGTGAACATGTAAAATTAGGAAGAGTAAGGTGTGGGCTTATACGCGAGGACCATCTCAGGAAAAATGATTTTTTTTGGGGTGTTTAACATTGTAACCACCTTACCACCAATGAAAAATTGTCGGAGGGATGTGGGATGTTTTCGATTGTATACAAATTCTTGAGTCATAGCAATTTCCGCCATGATGTTTTTCAGCACGAATTGACCTGAAACAATGTGCTTTGGACACAAACGATTTCCAATGACCTAGTTTCACGACTTGACGATCACATTTTTGATTTTTCAATTAAGCTACTACTCAAAGAAATATGGATTACTTCAGTATTGCAACATCATGGTTTATCCTGAGTAAATAACAGAATAGAAATGGTGCGAACCATGTTGTATACGTTTGCCATGCACTCTGAAATTAATGCAAATTTTCTCATAAAAGCACAAACCGAACTACATTTCCAAATACGTTTTTTATGCAATAAAACATTTTTTACACACCTAGGGCTTATAATTGGGGATGCCCTCAACCCATTAAATGTCTAAAAATAGAGGGGTGGGCTTATACTCGGGGAGTGATTATGATCGAGGAAGTACAGTATGTAGGCCCCCTAACTGTAATGATGGTCTGACTGTAGTACTCCCTCTCTAACTCCAACACTCCCTCTAACTGTAGCCCCCTCACTAATATTTTGTGTCAATATCTTAAATCCCCTATTTTGATGAATATTACCACTTCCCATGCTGTTTGTACTTGCAGGTCATTTCTGAAGGATTTGATTGAAACCACACATGTGTTTGTGAAGATGCTGGAGACACATGCTAAAAGCAGAAGATCAATTATGGTTCAGGTCAGTTGAAATTTTGAGTTATTACGCTCACAGGAATAATGGCAGTGATATCTGCATTTGATGATTTACAGCAGATAGCTTACTATGTGTT